ACAGAGATATTTTGAGCTTGGCGACAAGCCGCACAGGCTGTTAGCCCGCCAGCTGAGGCGAATGCAGGCTTCCAGAGCCATACATTGTATCAAGTCTGAGAGAGGTACCTTGCACACGGACCCGAAGAAGATTAATGAATGTTTTGCAGATTTCTATGCTAATGTCTATCAGTCACAGGGCGACCTAGATTCTCAAGCTTTCAATACATTTTTTTGAGAATCTGGACTTACCCAAACTATCACGGGACTCGGCTGATATGCTAGACAAAGATATCAATCTGGATGAGATCGTGCAGGTTATCTCTTCCTTCCCCAATAACAAGGCGTCCAGATGGATTTAACGTAGAATTTTTCAGAAAATTTGGCTCTAAGTTGTCACCTCTGCTCTTACGCATGTTCAACCATACGATGCGAACCTCGGGTTTGCCGCCTACCTTATACAAAGCTAATATTTCCCTAATCCCAAAGCCAGGCCGAGACCCTCAGGTGGTGTCATCCTATCGCCCGATTTCGTTATTATCCATCGAAACCAAAGTTCTCGGAAAAATTCTGGCCAATAGACTTAGAGAATGCATATGCTCCATCATACATCCAGATCAAACTGGCTTTATGCCTGGTAGACATATGTATTTCAATCTACGCCGCCTTTTCAACATCTTGTATGCCAAGCATTCAGGAGAGGCAGTTGTTATTTCACTGGATGCACAACGCGCGTTTGATCAAGTAGAGTGGCCCTACATGATGTCTGTGCTCAAAAAATTTGGATTTGGACCCTCTTTCATGAAATGGATTGAAATAATTTACTCATGTCCGACCGCATCAGTTATCACTAATCAGAATATCTCCCCTCCATTTGCAGTTCACCGTGGGACCCGTCAAGGTTGCCCCCTTTCCCCGTTCTTGTTTGCAATTATCATCGAACCACTCGCTGCTAGTATCAGACAGAGCCCTTTAATCTCTCCCATTAACATGTTTGGTTATAAACATCATCTTTCGCTATACGCGGACGATATTCTCTTGTACATTTCCCAGCCACAAGTATCAATACCTCTTGATAAGTTTGGCAGTCTCTCAGGATTTTCTATTAACTGGGAGAAAAGCAAACTTATGCCAATCTCCACAGCAGTTAATAAGACGTATTTGCAATCCATTCCATTTAAGAAATCCTACGAAGCTTTTACATATTTAGGAGTGACTGTCACCAAAAATCCAAATGATCTCCTCAGATTAAACTGGCAAAGCAAAATCGAACAAGCCAAAACCAATATTGAGTTTTAGAAAACCCTCCCAATAACCATGGTTGGGAAGATGAATGCAATTAAGATGATCGTACTACCCCGCTTTCTTCATCTTTTCCAGTCCATTCCATGTTTCATTGCGCAGTCATACTTCAAGCAGTTAGACTCGATTATTATACCTTTCATTTGGAGTTATAAAACAGTTAGAATCTCTAAAAAACACCTATCAAAACCAAAGGATATAGGAGGTTTTGCGTTACCGAATTTTAAGTTGTATTATTGGGCTGTGCACCTATCCATCCTCGCATGGTGGAAGAAGGGTCCTGCTTCTGATGCAGACTCCTGCCCTGCTTGGTTGTGTAGCTGGGAGACGAAGAGTGCTTGCAAAAAAAAACTTCATTGCCTGCTCTTCTTAACAGTCCTACTGCTGTTAACAAGGCATGCTTTAATAACACGCTTTTTAACTGGACAATACCATAACGAATCTGGAAGCAGATTAGAAACATTACATCGAGGCTCCAAACAACCTCTTGGATACCCCAATATGTGACAACCACTCTTTTTTACCAGGTCTGACTGATAGTGTTTCTTCCTCTGGAAACGGAAAGGGATTTGCAACATAGTTTATTTTCTACATTAACGGCATTTAGCGCCTATACCCACAACTGGTAGCTAAATAAGACATTCCTAAATTTGGCCTTTTCGATTCTTTCAAATTCGAAATTATGTTAGGACGCATTTACCCGACTTTGAAATTGTAGAGCATGAGGCCCTTGAGACAATAAACAAAATTTGACCCTGCTGCTAAAGGGGCAGTTTCATTCTTTTACCGGATCTTGAACAACAATACCCAGTTGAACTCAGCGAGTCTTAGACAGGCATGGACAGATGAACTGAATGCAGAACTGGAAGATGTAGTATGGATGAATGTTTATTATAGTATACATGACTGCTCTGTGGAATGGTCAGATATTGCCTTATTCAGTTTAAGACATTGCATAGGCTCTACTATTCTAGAGAAAAACTGCACAGTTTCTTTCCTGGATGTTTCGCCCATTTGCAATAGATCCAAGTCTACGACTGGTAGACTTAGCGCATTCCTTTTGGTTATGCAGTAAATTGCACACGTATTGGAAAAGTATTTTTCACTGCTTCTCTCCATGGCTGTGGGAAATGTTGGGAAGCCGGATCCACTTGTAGTATTCTCGGGGGAACTTACCCCTCTGTCTTCTGCCAATAAATATGAGAAAAAAGCTATCCTATTCGGAACTGTGATTGCAAAGAAGTTAATTCTCCGGGATTGGAAGTCGGACATTGCACCCATTAATGATCTGTGGTTGAGAGAAATGGCGAATATGCTTCACCTGGAGAGACTGAGACTTTATAATGAAGACAGGGGAGACATATTTGATAAGATGTGGGACCCTGTACTGCAACTGTTTCGAGGAAAGGACTAATGTGTTGCTCACTGTGAAACACCTTGCTGTGTGTATCTCTCAGTTTACTCTATACTTTGTACAGTTTTTTGTGAATATGTATGCTTATTTTATTGTCATGACTGTGGCTTCTGCTGTTTCTTTACTCATGATGTGCTGATCCGGTTCATTTGTTAGTTTTGGGGTGGGTTTTTTTTTCTTTTCTTTTTTTTTCTATTATCTGTTATCTGTTTGTCCTGTGTTCTTTTTTCTTTTTGAAAAGCAATAAACATATATTTAAAAAAAAAAAAAGCTCTGTAAATAGTTTTCTTACTCTCGAAAACATTGCTCAGAAGGTCCATTCTGTTTTCTTATAAATATGATCAACCCATATCAATTTCAGGCTTAAATGAACAAGGCAATGAAAAACAACATTTTCAGTTTAAGCCACCCTTGTGGTTAATGGAAGCTCCGCCCATTGCAAGAACAGATATGAATACAGATCATTTAGTTGGTTGAACAGATATAGGCACAGATAATAGTGTGCTCGCTCTGGGTTCTACATAACTTAATATACATGCCCCACACCTTTCCAACTGTGGAATTGGGGGGACTGCAAACTTTATGAAAAAACAAATCAACAAGTTAAGTCAGTTTTATTTACACAGCACAATATCACAAATCCAAAACAATGAGCAATGAGAGAAAATGTTCACTCCCAGGTTTCTCACCCATGTTCTAGTGTGACCATTTGGAATAGCTATAAACTATTTAGCTGCAATCAAGTGACACTTGAAACAAATATTTATGTTTCAAGCCTTTAAACATGTAACAATAAAAGTCAGAAAAGTTAAAATTTGTATACTGTCAAATAATTAGCTGTTTGTTAGCTATATTCTGTTTTCTATCTCATGTGAATCTATCAGGAAAGTCAAATCTTCCAACTTAATGTTGATTAAAAAGTGGAACTGAAAAACGCATAAGTTAGTCTTCTACTCTGCAAGAACTCAACCATACAAGTGCATCATCAGCATTTAGCTCAAAGCTTGTCTCTTCTTTTGCTCTTCATTTCTCTTCCAATGTATCTTTTATCTCTGCATTCATGATGCATGAAGAGTGTTTTAGTGCCACCATTGCAAACCATTGCAGCACTCAGTTATCCTTCTGTCTTTAGCTGTTGTTAGGCACTCTGCTCCTGCTGTTTACCTCAGAACTATGACTATTCAAAGGGAACATCCTCCGAACTGCTCTTACGTCTATGTTCCTCCTAAAGGTGTCCGTGGTGAAATAATATGCAACAGGATCTAGTACTGTGTTGAAGCATGCCACCATCAGGCTATAGCGGTATGCAGCCAACATGAGGCATGTTATATTTTCTCTATACACATAGAGGAGAACCAGGGTGGCATGGTAAGGGAGGAAGCTGACTAGGAAAACGAGCAGGCTGGTAGCAATCATCCTCTGGATCTTTCTGCTGTCCACTAGGTTGGTCTGGGCCACAGTGCTTTGTCGGACAGCATGGACCAAACCCCAAGAGCAAATCAACATGATTACTAATGGGATACCAAACCCCACAAACAGCGTGGTAACAACCACCCCGGGCTGTGTGGCGTAGACTGGCAGGTTATCAAAACAATGCTTGTTGAAAACTTTTCTCGAGAGGTAGATGGGCAGGCTGGCACCAAACGTGAGCATCCATATTCCGATACAAATCAGTGGTGCTTTCTTTCGCCACTCCTGGACAACTGTTGACATAGGAAAGGTGACAGCCATGCAACGGTCAAAGCAAATACAAGTGAGGAGAAAGATGCTCCCATACATGTTGGCCTTCAGGATCAAACCAAGGCCATCACACAGCCACGCAGGAAGGCCATCAAATCCCAGATGGTAGTAGATCCTCATGGGCAATGTGAGGATGAGAAGTACATCTGCTATGGCCAGGTTGGTCATATAAACAATGGTTTGTGACCTTGATTTGGTGTGGCTGAAGAAAAAGACCAGTGCTATGAGATTAAAAATGAGCCCCACAATGGAGATGAGGGAGTACATGCACACAGAGAAGATGTTGATGTGGCCTGTACTGTTGTTGTAGCAGGCAGAGGAGTCGTTGATGGACATAATGACCTAAGAGCCAGAAGAAAGAGAAGAGTGGTCAGAAAAAGCGTTTATGAGAATAATTTCATCATTTCTAAGTAGCAAAAACACAAGAGATTAATGGCTAAGTCAACTCTGGTAACTGTGTTTAAAGTGGTTTGTTTCTTTTAACCATGTTTTTTCTAACCTTAACTATTATCTTGATCTTATCCTAACCGTAACCAAGTAGTTATTACACTGGAAAAGGTTAGGAAAGCTTTACCCTTATGAATTCAGGTTTCAATTCAATTCAATTCAATCTCAAGTTCGGATGTTTATTATGTATTACTTTGCAATTCATAACAGAGAGTTATCTCAGGACACTTTTGCAAAGTGTAAGCAGATGCGGGTAGACCGAACTCCTTTTAACATTTACAGAGACCCAACACCATGAGCAAGCACTTGGCGATGGGGGCAAGGAAAAACTGCCTAACAATGCTCTCTTTTGCTCTCTGATCACATTCACACAGTTAAACATTCAGACCTGGAAGCTTTCCAGTACAACCACAGAATGATCTGCTAGCCACTGAGATGCTTGGGCTTAAAGTATATTTTGGTGATTTTTTAATGACAAGATGTAAGCACAGCCTTTCTAGGATTCTTTTCAGCAAACATTAACACATAGTTTCATTTTAATATCATTGTGGCATGACCTTCATCAGCTCCTTAGGCCTGAGGCATGTCAACAGTTGTCATTAGGAAATGTCAACAAGATGCCAATTTCAAAGATGTGCAAATATTCAGACTCCTCAGACCTTGTGCAAACAGCAACCATGACTTCCTCTAAAGTCCAGTTCTCATTGAATGTGTTTTCCACTTGCCAACTATTTTGGGAGATTGCTGACAAATGCCCCCAGATCTGAGATAAATTGGTACAAGCTTTTGTGAGGAGGATCGTTGTGTGAACTGTCCAACAACTCTTAAAAAGAGACATGATCCTAAACATATCTTGAAATCTACCATGGACTACTTCAAGAGACACAAGATGAAAGTTTTGGAATGGCCCTCACAGTCCCCTCCCTTAAACATAATTGTTGTTGTAAAATCACCAAAATATGTCATTTCAAGTGGGTGCCCAAACCTTTTCGTACAGCTGTATCATTAAAAATAAAGTAAATGCAATAAAGATTATAATCTGTCAATATTAATTTAAGAGATGTTCATACCATCATCTGACTTATGTGAAAAAATGACTCTTAAAATGTTTTTCATATTTAATGTACGTAGCATGATTGCAACAATTGTTTTATCCCAAAATCCACAGAAAGAGCTAACTTATTTCACAACATTTGTTTTATTTAAACAGAATATGTAAAATAAGCATTAATTATTTATAAAAATATGATAATTATGGCTGGTAAAAGAGAATCTGTTTGCATTTGCATTCAAGGCTTTCAGCATTTATTTGTAAGTGGTAATTCCCTTTCTCTCACATATCTAAATATTAATTTCTACATCTTTTTGATTCTCAATCATACAGCACAGACCCACACATTGAAAGTGAAATTGTGAAAATGTGACTTTACCTATTGGACGATCAAAAGAGGTGAAGATTCAGAGGAAGAGTGTTTCTGTCATCCGAGCAAACTGATACTGACTCAAGACAGGAAGTTAACCAATCTTAAGATCTCTCTCTTTCTCAGTCTTTATGTATGCATCTATTACTTTCTGTGGAACTGCTATCTAGCAATTTCAAATCAATTTTATTTGTATGCGCCAATTCATAACAGAATTATCTCAGGACATTTTCAATAGAGGCAGGTCTAGACTGAACTCTTATAACATTTAACAGAGACCCAACAGTACCACGATGAAGCAAGGCACTTTTGGCGACGGGGGCAAGGAAAAACGCTTTTTTAACAGGCAGAAACCTTGGACAGACCCTTCGGCTCTAGGTGGGTGGTCTCCCTGTCTCAACCAAGACCTAGCACACAACACAATTGTTACATTCTAACATTGGATATTTTTATTCATACCCTTTTGTATCTATTGCCTTGATTTTTTTTGTTCTACATTATTTCACCAATTTTAGACCAGATCCACTCCAAACAGGTCTAATGCCATCACAAGACCAAACAAAAAT